CGAAAAACGAGAGAGAGAAAGAGAGTAGAAGAGAGAGAGAAATGAGATGGAGGGCAAAAAAGTCTTTTGGGGGGGCGGTAATAATCGAAAAGGGGTGGATAATAGATAACATTAATGGAAATCAATCAATCACAATCAGAGACTTTGTCCGTTAATCATTGATTCTTTGTTTTTTATTAAAAAAATAATAAAAAATCGCTGAAAATAATAGTTTGCATTTAAATTTGTAGGTAAATTATGCAACATTTGGAGAGGTAGATAAATTATGTTAAGTAAATTATATTACAACTACGTAAACTCTTACTCTTACCACATGAATTGACTCTGGAAGATCATTTTTAATCAACCAAATGAATCTCTTATTAATTACCAGACGGACTCTAAAATCATTACATTGCAACAAATGTTAACTATCACAAACTCTTACTCTCAAACCTCAAAAGTCAAAATACACAAACAGCCAATTATGAAATCAGATTTATTTAGTAAACAAACATAAATAAAAAAACAAATCATATATAGAGCCTGCAAGATGAAGCAAATGCTGTTAATTCCTCACAAACCATATACACACTTTACTAATCATCTATCTCTTCATGTAGCGATGGAATACTCTGTTCATTCCTGAAGAAATTTTCCGGGTCAACCGCGGTTTTCACCCGAACAAGCCGGTCGAAATTGTTCTTGAAATACTTCCTTCCCCAAATGCTTGACCGAGCGTAGCTCCCAGGACCTTCGCCGCCGTTAACTCCAATATCGAGATCCCGGTAGTTAACATACGCCGCCCGAGGAAAACTCGACACGTAAGGAGCCATATAGCTATAAAGCCTTCGAATCCAAGCCAAATACCGCTCGGGATTTTGATTTTCGTTCTCCGGCCACCTCACTTGATAATGGAGACTATACAAATTACCGGCCCTATGCGGAAATGGAACTTCCATCTCGGAAATCTCGTCCATCACTCCACCGTACGGCGTCATGAGTATCTCCCCTTGCTCGGCTTCCGGCTCGTATAACAATCTCCAAAGCCCTTCGAGCCCGCCT